GGCGAAAGATGGGGGAAGGCAGCCATGGCGATGGCGGAAGGCGGCAGGGGGTGGGGCGGTAGTTGCCGCGAGCGCGGAAGGCCGCACCGGCTGAGGCGGAAGGTGGGGGCAAGGCGGAAGATGGGGAGAGGCAGGTGTGGCGAGGGTTGAAGACGGTGGGGGGTGGGAGGAGGAAAGGCAGTCGTGGCGATGGTGGAAAAGGGGGGGAACATGCCGCAGAGTGGAGTATTGGTTCGACTTTGTCCAACATGCAAAACCGGACCGATAATTTTTATCGGTCCACCTTTGCCAAACATACAAAACCAGATCAGTTTTGCCAATTGTGCAAAACCAGACCGATAATTGTATCGGCCCGGTTTTGCCAAACGTAAAAAACCGGATAGATAATGTTATATATCCCATTTTGTAACCAACTGTGGACATGCACATTCTCAGCCCAGTTTTGCCAAACATACAAAACCGGATAGATAATTTTATCTATCTGATTTTGTAACGAACTGTGGACATGCACATTATCGATCCGGTTTTACCAAATATAAAAAAACGGACCGATAATTTTATCTATCCGATTTCGTAATCAACTGCGGACATGCACATTGTCAGCCATGGTCATTTAATCAACAGACATTGTTAGACATTTCGTCAATCAATCAATCAAGCAATTGATCAATCAATCAATCAATAAATCAATCAACCAATGACGGTGATGAGGTGGAAGATGGAGGGGCGGCATTTGCGGCGAGGCGGAAGGCAGCGTCGAGCGGAAGGCGGCGTCGAGCGGAGGCGGAAGGCGGCGATGAGCGGAGGCGGAAGGCGGCGTTGGGCGGAGGCGGAAGGCGAAAGATGGGGGCGGAGGCACCCGCGGTGAGGGTGGAAGGTGGCGGGGGTGGGGCTGCAGTTGCGGCGAGGGCGAAAGGCGGTGGGGGGAGGGGCGACAGTTGTGGCGAGGGCAGAAGGCGAGGGGGGGTGACATGCAAAACCAAGTCCGATTTTGACTGATTGATTGATTGGCTGATTGATTGACTGATCGACTGATTGATTGTTTGATTGATTGACTGATTGATTGATCGAGTCGGTTCTCTACCCAGTCCTTCCAGTAGCCCATAGCAGCATGTGCTATTGGTCCCTACTGGTCCCTCCGATTTTTCAATGTGGGGGGACCGGTGGTTTAACCGGACCGATAATTTTATCGGCCCAATTTTCAAACCAACTGTCATTCAGTCCGCATGCCCGCCCGCCTGCCTGCCCACCTACCTGCCTGCCTGTCACCTGCCTGTCTGCCTACCCGCCCGCCCGCCTGCCCGCCGCCCCCCCCGCCTACCTGTCGGCCTGCTCGCTGGCCCGCCCGCCTTCTTGACTGCCTGCCTGCCGACCCGCCCGCCTGCCTTCCTGCCTGTCACCTCCCAGTCGGTTTGCCTGCCTGCCTGATTTCGGCACCCTGTGACAGGTGGTGCACCGTGAAGGTCTGAGAGGGCTATTACGAATTCCTCTGCCAGAAGGCAGAGGGACTGAAAAGTGCAGGGCCAACAGTGCCACAACTTCTAGAGCGATGTATATTTAGGGTTGGATGCATCTGGCCGACACAACTTCAAAATTAGACCAGGGAGTCCCATCTGAGCTTGTGGGTTACGTGGCTGCCAGGTGGAGGAAGAAAAATGGGGGCGCGACAACTTTTTTTTTTTACTTGATTTTTTTTCCTTTTTCAAGAGTGAAAACATATCCTTTTGTATCCCGCATGCTGGCAGGAGGTSCAGCACGCATGTTTCATACAGGGCGGTACCGGTACCTCCCCCTTTTTTCATGTGCTCGTGCCTCTTCTTTTCAGGCTCGGCAAAATGTGGCGC